GGCGGGTATTCTCAGGCTGGCGTGGGGGAACCTGGGCAGCATCCCCACGCCGGGACCCAGTCCTGCCATGCCCCAGGTGTTGTACCACTGGGCAATCACTCTGTTCTGTGCTGGGGCCAGATCTTAACACATTTGGGCCCTTCCTGGCCTGGTCAGGGCCTGAATCTGTGGTGCAGGCAGCGGCAGCTGGCAGGGACAGGCCCGGCCCTGCCCTGCCCCCACCATGTGAGGGGCTGAATAGCCTTGAGTGGGGGAGAGGCTCCTGCCCTCCCCACCCCACTACACATCCACCTGTGGGGTCATTGTCCCTATCAGAAGCCCTTGCCTCCCCTATATACCCCTCTCAGGGATCCCTGCCTCCCACCCATGGCCCCCTGCTCTTCCTCCTATACCACCCCCCCTGGGGCTCCTGTCCCACCCCACACCGCTGTTATGGCCCCCTGCCTCACACACGCTCACACAGACCCCAAAACACACACCCAAGGAGTTTGTTCCCTCCCAAAACACACATACAGCTCACATCTGATATCCTACGAGCCTCATGCACCAGCCTCAGCCCTGAGCTCCCCTGCCACCGCTGTCCTAGCACCTGAGCCCCCAACATCTGTGTTGACTGGCTGCGTGTGTGGTCGCAGGGTGCACTCAATCTGCCCCAAAGTCCCAGTAGCATGGAAATAAGAGGCTAAAGGGAAGAGCTTGTATGTTCTTGCGCACATTCATGCTGCCTGTGACACTGGGGATGAGGCACTCCAGTGCTCCATGAGGCTTTTTCTGCCAAAGTCTCCAAGAAGTGCCAAGAAAGGTACATAACCCTCAGCTTTATGGCATTTTTGCTCTCTAATGCAAAACTTTAACAGTGACCTCTATTAGTGTTGGTCTAATAAAAGATATCAGATTTACCCAAAGAACCTTGTCTGCCAACAGTGACCTCAGGCATTTATATCAAAGGATCAGCTGCAGCTGGACTTGCGTCCTGGTGAGCAAAGGGGGCAGTGAGAGCTCTGGTTTTCCATGTTAAACAAACCAAAATCAAATGCCAAAATATATAGGTATTTACAATTAATTTTATTATAATGACTGAGGCACTGATAGGCTTCCAAATTGCCTTAAAATTGTAAAAATCTCAATAAAACATTGTGTTCAACTGATTCATAGATTCATAGATTGTAAGGCCGGAGGGGACCTTGGAAGATCATTGAGTCCTATGAGCCCCCTGCACCAAGCAGGAAAGATAACTGGGGTCAGGTGACCCCAGCAAGGTGACTGTCTAGTACCTCTATATATGGTGCTGTTCCATTTTAATTATGGAAAAACGTGGACTTGGGGTTTTTTAACCAGAGAATTTTGGATCTTTTTAAAATCAGAGAATTTTGGATTTTTTAACAGAAAACCAGGATCTCTGGTCATAATTCATACTATTCAATGTCATGCCTCAGTCAATTATATTTTTAAGCAGGTTAGGAATAATACGACTTATCTACAGATAAAAGTTAATTTGGATGAAGGTGAGGTATGAATTTAAAGCTCAGTTACTATTCCTGATTAGCGTTAAGGTGATATTCAGTGCAAGACATTTGCTCTGGAATAAGGCAGCATGTGAGTTTAATGCTGAACAGCTTTAAGTATGGACAAACTCAAACACGGAAAGGAAACGATAGCCAGCAATAGGCAATGTAAGACAGCATGGCACCATAGTGTAGGTGGAGGCAAATGGTAATTGGTGGTCTGAAGATGAAGCCTGCAGGACAGATGGGTGTGCAGAAGACAGCAAGGCAGGTGAATGGCAGGTAAAGATTTATTTGCATTCCAATCCTGATAACTTCTTCTGCAAATAGGGCAAGACTTTGGTACTCCACTAATACTGGCCAGAGGCAGGGCTGTATTCTGGCCTTCTCCAAAACAAATAGGTTTTAAATATTCAGTCTTCTAGTCTCTAATCATGATATAAGGGCATGGTGGAAAGTGCCAGGGATGGGAGGGGCAGCAACCAGGGGTCTACGTGTCTTATCTGCTGTAAGCTGCACATCATCTTGAGGCAGATGTGGAGAAAACAGTGTGTGTTAGAATAAGGTTTTGGGAGTCACTGAACTCCAGATGTCCTTACAGCCCCAAGGAGGTACATAATGCCTAAAGGCCCCTTTATTTTTATGTGAAGCACTATAAAGGATCTAAACCTACAAGTCTACACAAAAAGAGAAGAAAGAGAGATTATATGCACTGGTTTCCTCCAGGACCAGTTTCAGGCTGATTTATCCTCATTGGTTAAGAGAAGATAAGAATTAGGGACACCTATACAAGGCATGCTATACATTTTGAGTTTCACCTTCTCTCCTGAAGTCTGTATTCTTCTGAATAGGCAAACTGAGGTGTTTCTTCATTAACAGAGTAGGAATACTACCTTGCTGCATTGGACTTCATGGAATGGCCTGTGGGAAAGCCCTACAGAAGAGTGACACTGCTCACCAACTAAGG